CTTCACTCATGCCAGCTAGTTGGCTCCATTGCCCTACTGGCCTCTTAAAATGGCACTGAATAGCAATTGCTTCCCAGTTCTGATCCGTCGGCCTTTCATTGTGTGGACACCGAGTTCCATCACTGGCCATCCTTCTTTTTGATACTTTGCTGTTACCCAACTTCCTTTGACTTTGTGTTCATCTAGTGCAGGAATAGATTTCCTGTCAGGTCCCTTTCTGTCCAAATGGCGGTTCCATTATAAGTTCTTCCTGTGTTTTCCATTTCACACACCCTTCCTTCCCTCTTTTCCCCTTCATGCAATCAAGCTGTCAATGGCACCTCATTTGCTATACTTTGCTTTGAGATCAATAAAGAGGGTGATGGAAGGAAGAATGGCTTTCTTAATGGTTTCCGGGGACTAACTGTGAAAAAAAAAATTAGCAGTTCAAGTACAGAAATAAGAAAAGGAAACCACAAAATATCTAGCCCTGGGGTTGAGTGGCAGTAATCTTGGGCAAGGTTCCATGGCCCCAGGGTGAATTGTTTCCTTGCCTGGGGTTTCTGTTCCTCTGCCATGTGGGGAGAAACCATCACTTTCAGAGGATTTTTCCAAGCTCTTAAGTCTGATGTCACTAAGAGCTGGTGGAGATTAACAGGGAACAGTGGCTCCAGCCAATAGTGACTTCATCTTTTATGTCTACAGCAAGGCTACTGGAACGGGCCTTCTCAGCAAGCCAGTTTTCCTCCTCTCCTGGGATCCTGTGACCCACTTTTCATCTTACTCATAGTCAAGGGAGTGACCTGCTCAACTCACCATTCTCTGTGAACTCCTGCTCTACGCTTACCCCAGGGCTGCCTTGCCTCTGCATAGTGCCCCATGGTTTAGAGAATCCTCTGCACTTCTTCAAGCCAGCTGCAGCCGTCTACCCACCCAGCACCTTCTCAATGCCCCGTGGTACTTGTCTCTTTGTACTTGAGTAAGACTTCATCTATTAACGTGTTGGATTGCAAGGCCATAGGAAATTGCCCCAACACATCAGCCTCTGTGTACAGCTGACTTGGTCATACTATCTCTTTGCCAGGTCACTTGCTCTCCTGAGCCTTTGTTTCGGTTATGTCCCAGATGCAGTAGGGGAAACTCTGCTCTGAAATCAAGATTGTGTGACTTTATTTCATCCATAAAATCCATTGCTCACATTTGTCTCTGATCTTAGATTTAAGTTCGAAATGAGTTCATTTCTGCAAGTTTAAATTGTGAACCTCTTGCGAACCTGTACGCTGGACATCTTTAAAGGTCCTAATAGACGCCTTTGCCTTTCTTACGCTGCACACACTCTTTGCCCCACCGTGGCCTTTGTTTTTGTGCCTGAGCATGGCTGGACCCCGGTTTCTTCTCCCTTCCTGGCAGTTTGATCTTACAAACTTCCTTCCCTCTCCTGCCTTCAAAGCTCTCGACTGTGGAGCCATGATTTATGCTTCCTACGGGGTGAGATTTTGCTCTCTGAATGATGGTTTCTTTTGCAGTTCCAATGTGGTGGATCCAGCTTCCAGGGTGATTGATATGTCCCAGGAAAATACAAGGAATCCAGCTGTGTCTCTGCCCAAGGTAGATTGAGCCCAGACGTTGAAAAATCTCGTTATTAGCAGGAATGCCATTTTCCTCATCATTACCAAAGCAAAACAAATGCAGAGAAATCTTGTAGTTCATTTTGTATCCCATATGTGAATAATTTGGGTATATAGTTTAAGAAGTCACTCCTGTGGTGGATAAAGTTGATAATTATATTTGTGTTGCTAAAGACACAGATTTCTTTCTGTCCTTGAGAGTTAAAATGTCTAGGACTAGAGAGATGTCCTCAGTGGTTAAAAGAGTTTACTGCTCTTCCGGGGACATGAGTTTCTTAACTGCCTGCAACTCCAGCTCCACAGAGATCCAGTGCCTCTAGCCTCTGTGACCACTCACAAGCTCACTGTACCCCCAAGTACATATACATAATTAAACCTTAAAGTTATTTTTAAAAGAGCCAGGTGGTGGCCCATCATTTAATCCCAGGCCTTGGGATGGGGGAGAGCAAAGACATGGGATCTCTGTGAGTTCCAGGCCAGCTTAGTCTAAATAGCTAGTTCTAGGCCGGGCATTGCTAGGTAGTGAGAGCCTGTCTGAGAAAATAAAAATGTAAAAAGCCTATATGGTACTGCCATTCTTAGGCTATTCAGTATGGCCTGTTAGTTCTACCATAGTCCTTATTTTAGGCATAGCTTCTTACATCTCTGTTACAGGTCTGTTTCCAGGAAGGAACTGTCAATTTATAAAACTACAAACAGCAATCATTCACAGTCAGTCTTGTATTAATATGAATAATCAGAGGCAGGAATATTGTGAGCCCTAAGCCACTCCATAGACTGGGTAGGTAGGCCTTGTCTCAAAACAACAACAAACCCAGCCTATATGTACTTGTACCTTTGCTGTCATTAGAACTGGCCATAACAACGGTGAAGGCTTCAAGATGCCGGAGGTCATTTCAAACAGCTGTAATCTAGTACAGTAACTAATGCGGTAGGAAAAGCCCTGATGGGAATCTGACCCGATTAAAAAACCTAGGATTGCCTTACCCTTGACCAGTCTTTGCTATGATTCAGGGTCATTTTTTTTTTTTTTTTTTTTTGAGACAGGGTTTCTCTGTGTAGCTTTGCACCTTTCCTGGGACTCACTTGGTAGCCCAGGCTGGCCTCGAACTCACAGAGATCCATCTGGCTCTGCCTCCCGAGTGCTGGGATTAAAGGTGTGCGCCACCACCGCCCGGCCAGGGTCATTCTTACCAATAAACTGTGCTTCTGATCTAATTTCAAAGGACTTTGGCAATGTGTATACTTTATATAATTGTATCTATGTTTTTGCATGATGTATAGTGATTTTATGCTAACCAAATTAAACAGTTTCCCTAGCCCCAAACATGTCAGATAGTAGATTGGACTGTTTAAAGCTATCAAATATGTGAGATCAGAAGCATTTGCTAATGCTGAGTCGCTGTTATGACATTTAAACCAAGTTTAATAAACATTATTTTTCCCCAGCAAAGGAAGAATCCATTTAACAACTCCAAGTTGCCAGAAGATCACTCACCGCAACAAACCAAAAATGAGCAGTCAAAAACTGGAAAAGCTGGTTTATTTCAGATTTCAAAAGAGGGTAAATATTATTTTTCTGGACTGGCTATTTTTATCTTTGTTATCCGTGGACTGGGGGAAATGCTCAGAGTTCCTTTCACTGAAATAACTCCCCAGAGAAAGTGAGAGGTCCTGACGGTCTTCTTTCTCTGCTGTGCCCATGGTCTAGAAATTAGGAACTGAATGTCTGTGCATTCCAGCCCTGGGGCTGCCAATTGTTATGTGACCTCCGTGCTTTGCATTCCCTCATTAGTGACGCAGGAAATTTTTGGACCAAAGGCATTTAGTTTTTCACATAACAGTATTTCTTGCAAGCCTACCATGTGCTGACACAGTTGTCTGTTTAAAATGAAAAGAGATTGAAAAACAATTTAGTTACCCCAGGAGGAACTGATAGAGCTTGCTGCTCAGAAGTATTTGAGCAAGTGTGTGCTTTGATTGATTGAAGTTTGTCGCTTATAGAATTTTACACGCCAAGAAGAGGAAATGTCAGATAATTCTGTCTCTCCAAAAGCAACTGTAAGAAGAGGTCACTCACTAAAAATTAGTCTAGGATGAGAAACGGTTGGACAGTGATCCAGGGCCCTCAATTAGGCTCTCTTAATAGGTTCCCTCTTGGGTACACTTTATAATACACAAAAATGTTGGAAAAAGTTATTGGGAAATATTATCATTTACTTTTTAAGCTTTTTTTGAGAAGACATTAGTTTTAGATATTGGGATTTTGATTTTAAACATTGAGTTACCTTTTATCATTTTAATATATGATTTTTAAAGGTGGTACTTGTGTTTTGTCTTCAGCCTCCTTTGAGAAATCTAAAAAATCTACTTTTAGAATATTTTTATGCATGCTTAGTGCCCTTGGAGTTCAGAAGAAGGTATCACATTCCCTGGGTACTGGAAGTAGAGATGGTTGTGAGCCACTATGTGGGTGCTGGTGATTAAACCCAGATCTTCTGCAAGAGCAGCAAGGATTCTTAACTGCTGAGCCATCTTTCTGGCCTCTAAAAACTCTATTTTAAAAGCTTTTGTAATCAGTATAAAAATCTTAAAGCAAATAAAGTACAGCAATATTTGCAATAATTTCTTTGCATCCAAAATGATGGGTCTTGTTATGACATTTTATACACGTATATCATTGTGTCTTGTTGTATTCTTTCCCACTACCTTCTTCTATCCCTCCCACTCCTGGTTAGCCCTCCTACTTGCTGTAAATAAATGCCCTTCAGATTTCTCACACACTTACACACACGCACGCACGCACGCACGCACGCGCCTAGATTTCACATAAGAAAAAAAATATGATACTTTTTACTTTTCTTCGTATTTCTATGTTTTCTTTCCTTGTCTGCTTTCTCTTTAAACCTCTCCCTATCTGCTCTCAGATAGTGCCTCTTCTCCATTCACATCCTCTGTGAGTGTGTGTGTGTGTGTGTGTGTGTGTGTGTGTGTGTGTGTGTGTGTGTATGTGTGTATGAGCGCCATGGCATGCACATGAAGGTCAGATGACAACATTGTGGACTCTGTTCTCTCTTTTTGTGGGTTTCATGGGACTGAACTCAGTTTGGCAAACTTGAGTGGAAGATGCCTTTACCCTCTGAACCATCCTCCCACCTTTTGTGCATCAATTTTAAAAGGACTTTTTTTTTCGTAACACTACCAAACAGAAAAGTATATCCTATATGTACGTACACCCTATGCTCACATCTGCAGAGCCTGTCATGGTTAGCATCTGCCACCAGAGTGGTATGTTTTTTATAACTATCAAAGTATGGTTGCTTTTCTATTGCTGTGAAGAGACACCATGACTGAGGCAACTTATACAAAACTCTAATTTGGGAGCTTGCTTACAATTTCAGAGGGTGAGTCCTTGATCCTCATGGTGGGAACGTGGCAGCAGGCGTGGTGCTGGACCGGTAGCTGAGAGCTTATATCTTAGTAGAAAGAGCAAAGAGAGAGAAAGTTAATGGGGAATGGGTGTGCTTTGAAACCTCAAAACCTACTCTGTGTGACACACCTCCTCCAATAAGGCCACACCTCCTAATCCTTCCCAAACAGTTTCACCAAGTGAGAACCAAACATTCAAACTACCACACAGATGAACTACGTTCAGACATCTTTGTCATCCACAGTCAATAGTTTACATCAAGGGTTCACTCTTGATGTTCTACAGTTCAAGTCTTCAGACAAATGTATAATGCCATGTGTTCACCATTGTAGTATCATAGAATAATGTTACTGCTGTAAAAATCACCTGGGTACCAAGGAACGAGCCTGTAAGCGCTTTCCCTCTTAGGTCTACACTTATGCAGCTTATTATCTTAAATGTTTCCATAGTGCTTACTAAATCCAGACTAAACTTAGAGGTGCTTTAAGGTGCAGAGTTGCTTTCTACTTAACATACCACTTAATGTGTTTTAACTTTCAGGTGAATTATCAGAATCAAAAGAAAAGACAGATATTTCAAGTCAGAAGTTAGAGACACCAAAGCAACCCATGCCCATGGCATCTGAAAAGGGGTCTCAAATCAAAGCTCCAATCCCCAAGGCCAGAAAATTGATCCACAAATCCAACGACTTAAAGACAGAGGATAACCAGTCTTTTCCTAGACAAAGGAGGGACTCCCTGAACGCGAGAGGGGCGCCAAGAGGGATCCTAAAGCGCAACTCCAGTTCCAGTAGCACAGACTCAGAAACTCTCCGTTTACATTACAATTTTGATCCAAAAAGCAAAATCCTATCACCTGGCCTAACCATCCACGAGAGAATTTCTGAGAAGGAGCAGTCTGTAGAGGATGACTCTTCCACAAACTCACTGGAGCCATTAAAGCATGTGAGATTCTCTGCGGTGAAGGACGAACTTCCTCAGAGTCCTAGACCTGCTCTTGGCCAGGAAGTAGGAGAATTTACTGTTTTAGAAAATGACAGGCTGCAAAATGGTACAGACGATGCAGGGGATGTGGACGTGTTTCAGGATCGCCAAGAGCCCGCCCACAAAAAGCCTTTGTCTCTTTATCAGCCAATGTCAAGCCCAAGTGTTTCAGAAAGGGAGACACACCAGCCAATGTCTTCTGGGTCTGTTCCAAGTGATGGGCTCCCTTGTCACTTGGACATTCTACCCGCAGGACCACAGCCTGTTGAGAATTCACCCATCATCGGTGAATGCCAAGATAAATCACCACATCTAACAAGACTTGAATCGGAGCTGTCTGGAAGCCCTGCGGGTAAGAGTTGTCACCGCAGGTCACAAAAGCTAGCTGGCCTCATAGCTTGAGACGACCACGCCAGTTATCGCCGTAGAAGACCAAGGTTCTCTTTAAGCATCCCAGCTAGAATTCAGATAGCTGCTGCAGGGCATGGATTTGGTGTCTTTCATAAACCATCACCGTTACCAAAGAAATCAGAATAGCACGGTGTCTAGCTTGTGTTTAATATGAGTTCCCTTACATTTGATGCAATAATAATAATAATAATAATAATAATAATAATAATAATAATGAAGTCAGCCAGGCGTGGTGGCTCAGACCTTTGGTCCTAGTACTCAGGAGACTGAGGCAGGAGGATCTCTGTGAGTCTGAGGCCAGTCTGGTCTACATAGAGCTGTATAATAGAGAGACCCTGTCTCAAAAAGACCAAAATAAACCAATCACTTGTACAAATGACAATACTTTGGGTTAAATAAAAGTGTGTATAGAGGTAAGAACTACATAAATTCTAATATGTTTGTATAGAGTAAATATATCATTATTCATCTGTCATAAGGCTAAGAAACCAGACTTTGAGTATTTATGAGGGGGTATCCCTCAAACTACCTTTTCATGTCCCTTCCGGGTGACTATATCATTCTTGGACCTTGAAAAACATAAATTGGAAATATAATGTTGTGTGCTTTCTCCCATTTTAAATAAATCTTCATTCAATCCTAAGATAATTTTTAAAGCCATAAAATTTGAAAGTAGCAATAATCAAGTTTCTAATTCGATTACCTCTTTTTTGGCGTTAGATTAACTCTTTAGATTAAGTACTTTAGCTTAGCCCACAGCTCGGTACTCTTTAGGGGACAAGGCTCCTTTGCTCTTTGCACATTTTAATTATTTCAATATAACGGAACTTCTTTTAAAAAATAACAAATGCTTCTTCAAGCAATGAGAGAATCCATGTGACAAGAAATTACTAATGATGGACCAAACATTAGCAAATAATCATGTGGCATTTACTTAAACCAGTGGTTCTCAACCTTCCTAATGCTGCGACCCTTTAATACAGTTCCTCATGTTGTAGTGACCCCCAACCATAAAGTTATTTCATTGCTACTTCGTAACTTTAATTTTGCTACTGTTATTAATCGTAATGTAAATATCTGATATGCAGGATATCTGATATGCAACTCCCATGGAGGCTGTGACCCAAAGGCTGAGAACCATTGACTTAAATGTTCATCTTAAGGATGAAAAAAATTGCAGGATAATATTTCCCTTTATTATAATTTATAAGGAGAAAGAAGGCTTTTCTTGTTTTCAGACTACATCTGCTTCCTCAAGACTATCTTTATAATTTTGTATTTAGGTATTTGTCCTGTCAGACTTTAAAATCATGATTGATTATTTACATTTTTGGAAGAAAATACTGTCAGCAAAGCTCTTGCTCATTGGCTGATAGCCTTCCTAGTCTCAGAGAGTGCTTACATACAAAAGTCTGCCCATTCACCAAGAGCTCTTTTCTGTTTGATTACTGAAATAACATACAAGAAGGTCCTGGGTCATTCAAAGAGCCCCTCTAAACATGTGACTCCTAAGGGCTTGCTTTAGATGTGAGCTTCAGTGTAACAACTCAACTTCCTTTCACAATGAAAAACAGCACAAAGGAGTCCTCCAGAGGGAAGGAACTATTACTCGCTATTTTTAAAGGACTATTCTTAATTCTTTTTTTTTTTTTTTTTTTTTGGTTTTTCGAGA